CGAATACCTGAGGATATCAAAAACAAAATCGGCAATAAATGAACACAGAGTACAAAAGAATAAAGAAGAATAAATAAAATGCTGACAAGAAATTAAAATGATAATCTAATAATAAACCTCAGAATATATTTCCATTAATTAATAAACTCTTCTGATACAACTGATCCTCCAAAATACAACTCGGGAATCTACACTGTGTGGACCCCTAGAAAATCTAAACTAAACAAATGACAGCAATAACTGTCTAAATCAGGAAACTGAATCATAAAGGAACTCCTATGTAGCATCGGAAAAATGAAGTAGACTAATCCCCACTCAACATGAACAACCTCTACTCCTGACGAACACCTGAAAAATAATGGTGGGTCAGGCCCACAAATAAGTTATACTCTACTACAGTCCAAACAGAGATCCGATACACGTATACATCCTAGTCAATCTAACAGTAACTAATAGTCCGTATATATATATACACACACTAAAGGAACCTCACTAGACTATAGGGTTGTCTCAACCTGAATAGTAGGCAACATGCAAAACGCACATATAGTGGGAATGAGTACCTAGACCTACTAGGGTACACAACTACACTATATATAGCTACACATCCCTGGCGATATACGCACCCTAACCACTGATCCTGAAACTCAAGCTCATATCATGGCACCATACTTATATTTAGAAAATCTAGTAACCATCCTATTCAGTATAAATTAATCCTCCATAAGTTATTCAACTTGTTCAGCTGACCTGACTTGAATATAAGTAGGACTTAACATTTTAATTAATCCATTCCCTTATATAAAATAGTAGGACTTAACTGATATGTTAATCCGTCCATAGAATGCCACCATCCCATACCGGTGCATTAAACCACACAATCCAGCAATTGATGTAACGATTAAGGAAATACATCAAACAATCCAGAAATAACTATGATAATATGATATCAAGTTATCACAAAATAGGAATGACTTATTATTTATTTAAGCTTCCTATATCATATGTCCTACATAAACTGAATCTTATATATATGATGATATTTTATTATACCGTCAAATAAGCATTCTCCATATCCAATTCATCCTACACATTTAATCTCAATTGCTAAAACATATTAAAAGATTAAATCCATTCGTTTGTTTAAAACATTCAAATAGCAAGCATCATTATGATTGAGTCTATTTAAATTTATTTAAACCCAAACCTAGTTCATATTTAATGTTCAGGAATCCTAGGCATGTTTCTACGTTCCATCATTCCACAAATATGAAAAATACATAATTTAAACATGTAAAAATTCACACTGAAAATCAAATCAAAATTATGCATTTATCAATTCATAACACAAGAACAGATATGAACCAAATTCATAAAACCTATATTCTAATCCAATTAAACATGCATAATTATTTAATTTTATGTGTTTAATAAATCCTGGAATTACCTAGGCATGTACAGAAACACGAGACTATCCTTTTAAAATTAGGGATATTACAGATTCTTACTCGCCCTGACTATATTTTTAGTGAAAGGTAGTAGTGGCAAATTATAAATGTAAAACGTGGCCACGCTCATCTTAATCCACTTTGCAAGCTTCGGGGTGCTTGACGACGAGCACCACCAATATCTAAACTAGAGCAAGATAAGAATTGATTGAGAGCAGCAAGAAGGACTTGAATTGAAGCTAGGTTAGCATAGGAGAATATCATAATGTCATCTGCAAATGTGAGGTGAGTGATAGTTATTATGCTACATCTCCAATGAAACTTAAACCTAGGGTAAAGGTTAATGTGAGAGTTAATAGACAGTGAGAACACCTCCATTGCCATAACAAAAACTAAAGGTGAAATTGGATCGCCTTGCCTAACCCCCCTTTTTCCCTTAAATAATCCAAAAAGCTCTCCATTGAGTGAGATGGACCAAGAGGTTGTAGTAATACATTATGTGATCCACTTAACAAACTTCTATGGGATGCCAAACACAACCAATGAATCAATGATAAACTGCCAATGAACTGTATCAAATGCCTTTTTGATGTCAATTTTGAAAGTGCAATTAGGTGGATGTCTGATCTTGTGGTAACCATTGAGCAACTTATGAGCAAATACTATGTTGTCTGTGATATGTCTGCCTTGGATAAAGGAAGTCTATGTTGGACTTATGAGCAAGGGGAGTATGGGGGCAAGTTTGTTTGCTAACAGCTTGGATATGGTTTTGTAAATTAGGTTACAGCAGGAAGTTGGCCTAAAGTCATTTACTGTGGTAGGGTTAGGAACTTTAGGAACTAAGGCAATATAAGAGCAATTGATTTGTGTGAGCATTTTACCTGAGATGAAAAAGTCTTTGATTGCAGCAATAACATCATGTCCTATTATTGGCCAAGAGTGAAAGAAAAAAAGAAGAGCTGAAATCATCTGGGCCAGGGCTTTTATAAGGATGGAAGGATAGTATACATGACTATAATTCTAAGTCTGTAAGGATAGCAATGAGGGAGGGTAAGAGGTGAAGAAAGACAAACTTAGTATGAACTTGGTGAGGAGAGAGAGCAATAAGGATGCTCATCTTCTTGCCCACAATGCCTTAATATGTAAAAGATCCAAAGTTCTTTCTGCAGTTGAGCTCCTTACTGATGTCTCTTGTTGTGGTGCCTCAGAATACACTAATGCTTTTTAGTTAAATGAATTCTCTTTGCTTGCCTTGAAAAAAATAAAAATAATAAATAATAAAATAATAAAAAATATTGTAGCTTGTTACTTTGTTTATTTTTCTCTTTGCTTTTCTTTTGTTGTACATAGGGGTATGCCCCTCTTATCTATTGTTCCTAGTTTCCTCTAATATTGCTTAATTGTCAAAATAAGAATAAAATAAAATAAAGAGTAAAAAAAAAAAAATCAATAAGATGAAGAAAAACGGAAATCATTTAGAGTTCCAATATTATACCTGACAAAGCACCGTGTGTCTATCAATTTTTTATGAGTTATACACTAAAGTGTTGCTTGATAACTCAATTCAACATTTAATTCTTAACAAATTAAGCGTTCATTCAATTAAGGGTGTTTGATATTGAAATTTGAATATCATTAAGAACGATAACTAAGACATCACTTATAACTAAATAAACAAATTAAGCGTTCATTCAATTAAGGGTGTTTGATATTGAAATTTGAATATAATTAAAAACGATAACTAAGACATCACTTATAACTAAATATTAAACCCTGAAAATTTAAGTAGATATCAAAGAATATTTATTTATTATTTTCAGAACTTAAAATTCAGTTCTTAAAATTTTTATTCTTTAATTTTTCAGTTTTAGGTGAATGACAGATTATATATATATAGAATATTATATTATATACTATAAATTTAGTCGGACAGAATTATTTGCGGATTGAATTTGTCATAGTTCATAATTGATTTGTTAAACATAATGAATTACCGAACTTGGTATCAGATTAAATATTCAAACCATATCCAAATTATCAGATAGGACTCGAATTAGAATCCAATTGGCCTACTCGTATCTCTGTATGAAATATACATGCATTTACCAAATGAAAAATAAACATGCACTTACCAAAACAAATAATATATGACATATGTATGTCTATATATATACCATAAATTTCATTACACTAAGAAAATGCAAAGATACAATTAATAGTTGAAAAGCATTTTATAAACTCCATTTTAGCACTTACATATTGAAACGAGTTGATGATTGCAATTCAACATTAAACGCATTCATAATAGCACTGGATTTTTCACAAGAATTCCTAAGCCTACATGTGTCAGTCCAAGTTCGGTATTGATGCAAGAATAAATTAAATTCTTTTTTTCTTTCTTTATATTTTGGAGTAGTAATACTCTCTCCAAAGAGAACGTGTGGAGTTGGACAAGGCTTTGTACAACTCTCTTGAGAGACGATATCACCACTCAATTTCAATAGCAAACACATTCATAAATTAGTTAATTTGTTAGAAAGTATCCCACACCCCAGAACAAATACATACATGTGTATATATATATATATATATATATATATATATATATGTATGTGTGAAAACAATAAGAAAATGAAAAAGAGTAGCACACATCTTCTTTATAATAAATCAAATCAACGATCCTATTTCACATTATCATTAACTCCATACAATTAGTTAGGTCATGCTAGTATTTTCTACATGGAAGAAGATGTAGATGGTGGTATTTATAAATGTTAAAATTGACTCACTATTTTAAAATTTTCTAAAATATAAAAAACTGATAATATCTGGATTAAACTTTATAGAAAAAGAAGATGTGAAAAATCTCTAGATTCTAAACAACATAAGAAGGTGAAAGTGGGCTATAAATATGTCTACTTATAGAAGCCAAGCTAGCAAGAGAGCTAGCTAAGTGTTCACTAAATTATCCTATGTAGCTTATGTGTTCACTATATATTATCTAAAAATTTCCCCACAACCATCCATCTAAATAAAGATAAAGATTATTTTGTGATTATATAGGGGTGTATGTGAAATTACATAAATTATGGAGGGTCTTTATAGCATTTCCATATTATAAGAATCACTAAACATAAATAAATAAAGATGAAATATACGTATTTTAATTCAACGTGAAATTGCGGCGCCTAACGTACGATTCCCCAAATCTCGCTGCCAATCACTCCTATATGTCATACAATTCTTTAGACCATTTAAAATAACAGTATGGAACAAACTAGACAAAACTCAAACCATTATCTTGCACCTTGATACAGATCACTAAAATTATACAACAAAGTTACCAATCACTCCTACATGTCATACCATTCTTTTACACCATTTAAAATAAAATATAATATTTATACTGGTAAGATACATCTAGAGATTATGAAAAAACTAGACAAAACTCAAACTATTATCTTGTACCTTTTAACTAAAATTATACAACAGAAGTTACAAGGAAGAAAATAAATTCTATGCTTTTCGTTCCTTTTGTCATACACATTCTCATAGCAGTGGTCAAACCCATGTGAGCTCATGAGTTAAAACATGGAATCATATGAAACAAACTAACAGCATATCAGTACTATTTGAAAATTATATGTATGATAAAAACAAAAAAACATATATATATGGAAAACCAGAAAAGGACTACTATTTACACATTATTGGAAAATTATGGTGAAATCTAGTCATGGTTAAGGTGGCAAACACACTAATTAACCTCTTTCACATTCCATCAAAAAAACCATCATTGTCTTCATTTTTTTCTGCAATATGATCATTTTGTTTGTCAGATCAAAAGAAAAATCTTAATCTGACGAACATATCCATGATTCCACCATACCTTCACCTCTAGTAGCAACATTTTCCGATCCCTTCTCGCCACGAAAATCGGACGAAGGAGCCGAGAAATTTAATCTTCCATTCGATGCATTCCTCAAGTAATTGTAATTCCCATTGCCATCAGCTGACCTCAAATTCGTTGGATTATCATTGTTCCTCGTTGCAGTTCCTTCGGCAGGTCCGAGATTTCGGACACCACTACCACCAAGTTGTGATGATCCATTGACATGCCCATGATGGCTCAAGCCAAATTGATGATCATCCAAAACACCCATTTTGAGATGTGAATCATTTGGTGAAATTCCCAAAGACCCAAGAGTAGTTTTCAAGCCGAGATTAGTCGAATTGGGAAGTGCATATTTAGGAGCTGGGAATTGAAGGAGGGAATGAAATGGATGAATTGCGTTTTGCATGTTGAGAAGATGATCACTTTGAGGAGGTAGTAGTTGGTAGTTAACATTAGAAGCAGTGATCATGTTGTTAGTGGTAGTAGAAGAAATATTATTATTAGCATCAACCAAAGAAGTATGAGAAAAAGAACCAAATGGTGGTGGTGGTGGTGGTTGTACTACTTTTTGAGCAAATGGCCTAAGAAGATAGGGTGGTTGTGAAGGGTTGTCCATAGGGTTGGATCTAATAATGGAAGGTGTACCAAAGAGGCCTAGGTCAAGTCTGGTGGTGGTTCTAGAGAAGGGCAGTGAGGATGCGAAGGGCGGTGCAGGGATGCCCGTGAACTCCTGAACCATGGTTCGGAAATTGGTGGTGTCCGTGGTCAGAACCGTGGTTGGTGCACGCCTAGAGGCTCTGGGTCGTTTCTTTGGGTTACGGGTGTGAGTCTGAGTCGGAATCTGATCAGATGATGAAGCTGGTGGTGGTGGTGGTTGTAGAGATTGTGTTTGTTGATCAGAGCCAAAAAAGGGTTGGAGTGACGATGAGGGTAATATGGAGTTGATCTCAGATCTCTGGCGTTTGAACCAGACCATGTCCAGATTGAGAAGAGAGCTCGGGTTTGAGATATTTGGTGGTGGTCGTGGAATGGGTTCGAAATAGTTTTGTTGTAGAGGGTTAAACATGGGTGTGGTGGAGCTGTGGTGGTGGTGAGGTGGTTGAGATGGTGGTGGGGGATTAGGTATGAGGCCAACATGGGTGGTTGAGTTCAAGAAGGATGAGATTGATTCGGCGCGTGAATCGTACTCTTCATCACCACCACTGGAGGACTGTAGACTCCCACTGTTTCCAGAATCCATATATAAGTCTACTTTAGAGAGAGAAAGACAGCTTTATAGAGAGAGAAAAAAAGAAGGAATAATGCAGGGGAAGCTAGATAGAGATATGATCATGAGAGAGATTCACAGCAGCTGCAGAGAGATTTGCTTACTGAACAATTAAAACCCGTTGAAGAGAAAGCTGTAAAAGAGAAGAGAGAGAGAGAGTTTGTGAAAGAGATTTGAGAAAATACCCGTGAATTTATAGCTCTGATCCGCGATTTCTGCGTAAAGAGGAGAAGAAACAATCCAGAAATGATGAAATTGAAATAGTTGCAGAAAAGAGAGATCTATGTTGGGGACTGTTGCTTATTTACACACACACACACACATATATATATATATATATATATATATATATAGGTTTGGATGATTAGGGTTTCAGTGAGAGAAGAGAGGAGATGAGAAAAAGTGGTTCTCTTTAGCCATTCATCTCCAGAAGAGAGAGAGAGAGAGAGAGGGCGGCTCAAGCTCACGTATCTACTAAAAGATCGTGGTGGGGTCTTAGAGAGAGAGTGTGTGTGTGTGAGAGAGAGAGAGAGAGAGAGAGAGTAGTTGTTTATATTTTAGCAGTGTGAAAGGAAGACAAAGATCTAAGGTTATGTAGTGAATCCATAAAGCTTGTACTAAATTACTGTAATAAGTAACCATTTATATTTTGAAAACCATTTGAAACTTAAAAACACCATTTGTTCTCTCTTGCTTTATTTCAGATATGTAATTATATAAAGTGGTATATATCTAATTTAAATTCGAGGATATAAGCTTTTGTACTATCATGGTTTGAACTTTTACTATATACCCTTTGACTTCTTAAATTGGAAGACGAAAAAACTAAAAATCAGATATAAATTAATTGGATTACATTGATTAATAAGCATACTATTGTGCTACATCGAGAAAGTATACAAACTAATAAGAACAATTGATAAGGCCTTTGACCAAGCAGCAACTTTGATATATAGAACTTCAGAAAAGAAAATCTTGACACGGGCGTGATAATCCACATTGTTTCTGCTTTTACAGTCGTAGCCTAGCCTCCACTGAATTGTAGATTAAGAATATATATATATACATCTACTGAATATTAGTATTATAAATTTTAATTCATTTCTAATTTATATATTAAGAGTTACTTTGAAATAATTCAAAAATAAAATTATATCATTATTATAATGACTTTTATATAATATATAAGGTTATTCTTTTACTGTGTTATAATAGAGTTTTTGTTTTAAATAAATTAATTACATACTTCATTTGTGGTCATATGTGTATAATGCTAATTTTTTTTCAAATAAAAAGAGTTGAACACTTTAAGATATGTTTATATTATTTTTAAGATTATCGAGTAGGCTTGTGTTAAAAATGTTTGGCTTAAGTGTTCAAAATAATAAATTATAAAATTTATTTATGAACACATATATGAAGTGTTCGATGGAATGTCCGACAAGTGTCAGTGTCCGACACAGATAAGAGACGAGCATGACTCCTTCGTAGTAGTGTCGTACTATCTATTGCTACAGTATCCGTTACTATGAGTGTCCGTTCTTTATAAGTTTTGTTTATTGCAACAGTATCCGTTATTACAGTGCAAAAATATTTAAAATTATAAAATTAAGATTTGAACTTTTGACCACCGTTCACCAAACACTTCGATGCAATACAAAATAAAACATTTTTTTAACTCTAAGAGCATCTGGGGTGCACTCAAAAGTAGAAAATATTTGTATAAAGTAGAGAAAAAGAGAGAGTTGGTGTGGATGAAAAGTGGAATAGCAAAATTGTGAGCCCCGTCAGTTGTTCTATATTGCATTGTCTACAGTTGGAGAATGTTATAGAGTATATCCATCTATTTTGACACAATTATTTAATCATGAATTGTCCTTATTTTTGTCTTTTTCTCTCACATAATTAACTTCTAAATTAATTATATAATAATAAAGTAGACAATAAAAAATGAATTTCACACCGAATAATATAATCTAAAATGCATATTATCTATCTATTTTATTAAAATATGCTAACTTGACACTATACTATTTTAAAATTCCATAGATAGTATGTTTATTGTACACCGTATACTCTAACAACGTTTTTAAAAGTCGATTTCGCATGTCTTTTGACACGAAACGTTAATAAAAGCAAGTGACAAGTTGCAAAACTTTGCACTTCTCTACTTTCTGAAAATTACAGAACAATTGAACATTACTTGGCTTTGGGTTTGGATACCATCAGACAATTACAATTTGGATATATAGATACGTGGCAATTGGCATTCAATTCTCATAAGCATGCTGTGTGTGTGTGTGTGTGTGTGTGTATATATATATATATCAGTGTGAGTGTGTATTATTGCTTGTTCAACTAAAACTAGTCCAATTACGTGGGCATTGGATGTATCAAGAAAATATATATATCTACCACCTCTACAAATAGGACCACCATCATTTTCATTGAATCTGTGCCTCATGCTAGGATGCAGTGCATAAATTTTCAGCAGACTAAATTGGTCCACTTCTCAAATTGTTTTAAATTTGAATGCATTTTGTGCAGTCCATGTGATGCATCTAAAGGAAATTATTTAATCAATATATCAATTTGAAAAATCATTCCATTGGACTTGTATATATCATTACTCATATTTTACTCTTTGTTTTTTAGTGAATACATGCTCGTTGATATGGACATTTTTAATCATAAGAGGAGTGTTTGTGACAATTGTTAGTCGAGACTGTTGATCCGCAGTCACCCTGATGATTGATCACAACTCCCGAGTACTAATCACAAGAGTCCTTGAAGTATGGTAATTGGTTTTCAATCAATTAGGCGCCTACACCCGAGTACTAATCACAAGAATCCTTGAAGAATGGTAATTGGGTTTTCAATTAATTAGGCGCCTACAGATAGAAGTGACTATTGCTAACATATCTCTGGTCATAATTAAGCTCTATATTTATAATGTAATTCATGTATATGAGAAAAAGTACCAATAAAAGGAGAGAAGAAAATATATATATGTATACTAATTAACTTATTTTAGATGTGCAAGTTACGAAGATTTAACCATTATCAAAGAATATATTGTAATTGTACTTCCCCTTATTTCAAAGTGGAAAGTAAGACAAAGTGAGTGAATTAAATTATATATACATAATATATAATAATTTTTTTTTTAAAAAAAGAAGACACTTCATTATTGTGGCAAGCACCAAGGCCAAAGCCCAACTCTTTCCATGGGTAGGCTTCCAAGATTGGGGCATTGAGAGAGAGAGAGAATTAAACCCCATGTATTTATTTATGCTATAGAATTATTGAAACTATATACAAATATAATAAAATCATAATGGTCATTGTAAGAATTGTATTTAACTAATGTGTTTCTAGAAATTTGTTTCCAGTTGCTTTCATTGTTCCCCAGTCAGCAACTCACAAAGGTGGCATTTGAAGAAGGCAAATTTGGGACAGAGTATAAAAAAGTCTAACATCCAAACTAATCCAACCAAACCAGCATTTGACCAATTCAACTTTGGCCTCAACATTTTCTATTGAAAATTAACATGGTACCAAAAATTAAAAATATTAGAAACTGTTTAATTTGTAACTCGAATGGATAAATAAATAAATAAAATTGTTGAAAAAGACTACTTGGTTTAGTTTTTTGAAAACTATTTAATGAAAATTCAATTATAAAAAAGACTGCTTTCAGATAATTGTTTTTTTTACAGATTTCTAATTTTTTTTTTTTTTTTTTTTGAGTTATAAATTGACCTTAAATTTCTTTCTGTTCGATTTGGTAGAGATAAATTAAACATCCTAGGGAAGAGATTGTATTCTTCCTTCTTCTTTTTTTGTTTATTTGGTTTGAAAATCGAGAAGAGAATATGACAATATTTTATTTTGTTTGTTACGAAAAAAAAAAAAAAAGGAAAAAGGAGGTGCTAATTAGAATGAAAGTAAGGTGCTAATTAGAATGAAAGTTTTGTAATTTAAAAATATTTATAATAATATTATTTTTTTCCTTCGTGCCTTCGGTCCATATTTGAAGGGATAACAATTTATGATTCATTCTCTTCTCTCTTCTCTCTATTTATAAAGAAAATTTGTTACTTCCTTCCTATCTTCCATCCACCTCTTTTCAGTTTTTTCTTACCAAAGGGAACATAAAGAGGGACCGCAAAATATGGAAAGTTAATTTTTGACTTTTTGTTCCTTATTTAAAAAAAAAAAAAAAAAAAAAGAAGAAGAAAAAAAAAAAAAGTGTTTTTGGAAGAGCATGGTTTGGAAACATTTACACGTCAAGGTAATTATTATTTTTAGTATTATTATTTTTCTTTGTGATAAGACAAGGAATATATTTATGCTAACTCATTAAACTGGACAGCACTAGCTGGGAATATTTTATACTAGAAATTATATGAAAAAGGTATTCTTTGCTGCGTAGAAGTCTTGTATTGTGAACATATATGCATATAAAAATCCTTGACTTCATGGGTTCAATCATGTAGCTAGTTTGGAAATTGGACTATAATAAAAGCTCACATATACAACACATAAATCTACTTTTACAAAACCTTGGGTTCACACCCATCCTAGCCTGTTTGTACTGCCATACAGCCCACAAGGTGCATGTGGGAATTTGTTTAATTTCTTCAACTTCCCTTTTCATTTTTTTAATCACATACACAATGGTGCAGCGTTTGGAATCAGAACCAAAATCGTTTCCAACGGTTCCAAAATTCCAAAACTGTTAAGAACAAATTTACTTTAGATGCATTTTATGTAACCACAAATTATGAGTTCGAGATGAAAAAAAACAGTCTATCTACATTATGATTGAGTCAAGAATTTACTTTAGAGGGGCAACCATTAATAATATAATATAATAAGAAATTTTGCACCAAAATAGTAACGAATGAGTAGTTTTTTTTCTTTTTTTAATGAATTTTAATTCTTAGAAAATTGTGGGACCTATTGGATCCAACTTTTTGAATTTTGAAAAATTTTCTTAAGGTCTTTTGTGAATTTTCTAAGGGTTTAATGGGGGCATTTTTATAATTATTAAAAATAAGAATAACATAAAATTCTAGGTGGCTCCGCCACTGTCTCCTCAGTTCGCACACCCATCTCAAAAGCTGCTCTGCCAACTTGGCCATTGGGTAATGTCTGTGTAGGCGTATAATGATGAAAGCCTCCTATACTGCAATAACCCTTAGCCCTAGTTTGGTATGAAATGAAGTTGGGAATTGAATAAGAATGAGAATGAAATGAGAATAGTCATTCTCCATCATTCTCTTATTTGGTTTGCAAATATGAAATGATGTTGGAATGAATTGATAATCACAATTTTAAGTGATGGTAGTGAAAGACTATGGTGGCGATGGAAGGCAATAGCAGTGGTGGTGGTGAAAGAAGGTGGTGGGGGTGGGGGTGGAAGGCAATGGTTGTGGTGGTAGTGGC